AAGGGTGTTGCTGGCCTAGCCTGCTGGAAGCAGGCTCTTTCTGGTGGAAGTCTGAATCTGCAAGTACTGAGTGAAACGCGTTTGTCAGGTCATCAGCTGCAAACCAGCTCCCATGGGACGTGCTAACGTGCTGGAGCGATGAAACTACAACTGCAGTTGCAGTGACTGGCCGGTAAATTCCTGACGACCCACCATCACTCTCCAAGACCCGTGGGTCCTACACAGGCCAGGTCAGTGGGTTGAATGGGGATGCAGCAGGAATCGCCACCCTGCCTCCCTCCCGTTCATGATAGTGGCACTAATGTCATCCATCCCAGAAATGCAGTGCTGCTTTTCCTGTGCTATCTTCCCGGGGGAGGCACATCTGGTGGCGTCCACTTGGCCTCTCCCACTGTAACAGCCCTCAGTTCACAGGTCAGGGGACTGGTGGGAGGATCCTGCCAGTTGCTAAGTATGTCCACACATCACACGTGGCAGAACTGGGGAAATAACAAAGGATGGGTCGGGGACCCATTGTGAGCACTCCTGAGCTAAAACTCCTCTGGCCAGCTGACCTCCACAAGGCCTACTCCCACTAGTGGACCACAGTGATGTTTTGGGTCTCCCAGAATTAGTATCAGTTCAGAGGTAGTGCTCAGTCATTCCTGAAAAGGCTAATTATGTTCTCTTCCCCAGAGCATAATCACTATGGTTAGAGGCCCAAGGTCCCCCAGGGAAGGTGGAGAGGAAGACTGTGTCTATTTTTGGCAGTGCAGCAAGGTCTTTCCTCAAGAGGCTCTGGCCTCCCTTTTATTTAAGGGTTTTTGGGTCTCTAAACTGGGTCAAGTCCGGAATTGACAGCAAGGCTGTGAAACAAGTTCATGCACTTGACCTAGAACTCTTCTTTGTACACAGAACGAGTAAGAATTCAGTAGACTACTTGCGTATTTTCTTCCAGGGACACCAAGATCAACTAGTCAATGCCACAGGTCTCTGCAGTAAGACGACTCTAATTATCGCCCTGAATGTGCTGTCCATTCTGGTAACTGGCCCCATGTCGTCTTTGACAATTATCCTGCTGTCCTGGGACCCAGTTGTGCCCGCTGCATGTAAGGTCCCAGGTCAGCAGTTCCCATTGTCACTTGGTGCCTACAGGAGTGACCACAGGTGCTCTCCAAGGATGCTGGGGGGTCTCCTCACCCAATGTTTCTCACTGTGTCGGTGAAGGCTGTGTCTCCTGATCTCCTGGAGCAGGGGCGGTTGTACGCCAACATTCCCACCTTCCTAGGAGTTTGGATCCCCTCCTTTTCGATAAACCAAGGCAGTCCCACGTGTCTTCATTTAGTGTCGGCCACTTTTTGGTCCATGTCACGATTCACCAGACAAACTGCTAGGGAGTCCTTTCCAACCCCTTGAATTACGACACTGAATCCAGAATCTCTGCCTAGTGGGTTCATGTCGATAAATTCAGCCTGATCCCACTTTATTTACCTTCCACCATTTCCCCACACTCTTAATATCCATTCCCACACATTTCCCCAGAACATCTGTATAAACTGGAAAAGTAACACAGTTCTTTTGGAGCATAGTACACCTCCCCATGGGTCAAACTGTGTACCTCCCCCTTTGGGGCTTGTGGGCATGTTCTGCTCTGGGTCTAGAAGTAAAGAGGGGTGGCTGGGGTGGTCCTGAGGACCATCAGCAGTGTCTCGCAAGGCAGCTATCTCCGAAGAGTCATTCCAGGCTGCTCAGGCAAAGCAGGGTTGGTGTCCTCAGATAGGAGAGGGAGGGATACCTCTCCTGGCAAAGAAGACTCACGGAATTTAGGCTCCGTGTCGCCAGCCTCGTCAGGATCTGCCTGTATGTCCCCATTCCTACTGTCCCCCCCAATCCATGCTCTTCAACATCAGAGGTTCCTTGTGAGGCTGGGAACTCAGGCTGTGCTGTCACCCAGCCGCTTGCATGAACCGCCACGAGCCTGGCCCCCAGCTGTGGCAGCCGCGGCTTGGGACACCACCACGGCCACCCAGAGCGCTGCCCCCAGCTTCCTGCTGGCGGCGCTGCACACCCAACCCCAGCAACCGAGGGCCAGGGCCAGACCGCGCGGAGGGTAGGCGCCTAGGGCAGAACTGCATTTTCTGCTCAATTCTGCAGTGAACTTAAAACCACTCCTAAAAAATAAATCCCTCCTATTCAACCTCCCACCCAACCATTGATCTGCTCATTGTCTCCAAACTTAGAAAACATTTAAATTTTTTTTTAAGGATTGGAGCTCTTATAAATCGGCTGGACTCTCGTAGACAGTGCTTTCTTTTTGAATGGGTGTCTTTGGCCTTCGAGCAGTTACAGCAAGTCTTCGTTGTCACACCTGCAGCGCACGGATTTCGGGGTGCGCCTCCTAAGGTACCGATAAAATCAGAAAAGGCAAGTGAGGAGACTCCGGCAGGGCGTTCTTTCCCGGCTCCCTGCGGGCCGGCTGGGACCACCCGCGCCGCACCCGGACACGAGCCGAGTCCGCACGTCCACACGCCCAAACGCGGAGCAGACTGCCGCAGGGCCGAGGCCGGCGGACGGCATTCTTAATCTTCGCCTTTTCCCCGATTTCCGCACCTCCACCAGGAGCGCTTTAACCTCCCTCACCGCACACGGC